GCGGCGGTGGCGGCGGCAGCAGCGGAAGAGGCGTTTATCGCCACACAAACAGCCCTCTCATTGAGCCTCTCAGTGTCTACCGCAGTGATCTTTTGCGCGGTCCTTGCGCTACCACCAATGGTGCGACCGAAATCTACAACGTGCAATCGGAGGTTAGTTCAAAGGAGCCCCAGTGTAGTTTCAAAAAAATCTCTACTCCAAAGAAGAGGCAAAGTCGTGAACCAAGTGAGCAACCGCCAATATTCGGAGTAAGTCCGACGGATCAGCTGATGTTCAATTTGCCTGTGATGTATGCAGAAGGAATCCCGTTACTTTTCAATTCATCCCTTTTGTTTCAGGCAAAAGTTGCACCACCTCCTACGTCTTCATCAGATTCCACGTCGACGCTGACATTTAAGTCAGACTCTGGACGATCATCTTATCAGCGACAAAAACAGCAGCCTCAAGCCCAGAAGACACATTGCAGGCAGCGAATTTACCTGGCGTCCGGCTCTGCCGTTCCCTGCGAGCGAAAGGCACCCTTCAGTGACTCCCGGCGACGTTGCTCCGCGCCACAAAAGACAAATGTAGAAGTCAACACAAGTTTGGGTAAAATAAAACGGGCTACTCAAACACCTATAAGTAACCAAATAAACGTCGTAGAAAAAAACAGCGAGGGGCAGGCAGACGAGAGTTGTCCGCCTGTGCGTCCACGCCAACTGAGAGAAAGGGTATGCAATCTGGACCAAAAGGCTCCCTTAAACGGACGCAAAAGTGGCTGGAAGATTGAAAGAGGCGGCACTGCCTATACCTCCCCTGGACAGGAATCCAAACCGTGCCCCGCTTCCAAGGAGACCCAATTGCCAAGCCGGATGGCGCAGTTACAAAGGCGCAAGAACCGCCGTGGAATTAAGGCTGAGGCCCTGTGTTACCCAAAAGATTACAATGATTCAACAGACGTCGGAGACTCAGTATGGGATGTAAGTTCGCCTGCCCTCAGGGATCAAGTACTTAAAATATCATTTTCATATTTTGTTTTAAGAGTTTATGAGGGGATTCACGTGATGAACCAGAAGTCTTTTTATGCACGACTGTCTGCTGTTAAGGTAACTGTATAGGACTATATCCGTCCTCCATATTTTCATATTGGGATTTTATTTCAAAAAGATGACAATCTTTGAAAAGGCTGTTCTAGCAATGTGAATGAAGGATTTCAAGGTGGAATCAGTAAAAAATGTTAATGGAATTGGCCATCTTATAAGCTTGAACAATACTTTTATTCGCCTGACGTTTCGACATCCGTCACGGATTCATCATCAGAGACATTAGCAGAAAACAGCAGCAGAAGTGGTAAAACATGCACAGGAGTTTGCAGAATTTACAGGATACATTCATTACTGCAAACATACCGCGACAGTGAACGTTAATTGCCTTCTTGCGCGTAGATTGTTTGTTGGACAGCATGCGGGCTCTGACCTGTTGAACTTTCATCACGCGTGGAGGACTCGGGCGTTATGATTGCTCGACCATCTGACCCTCCTGTGTTGGCGTAGGATAACGCGGTGGCCTGTCCGTTCCCGAAGTGGCGACTTGCTTTGGCCAAATTGAGTCTCCGCACCGAAGATGGATCGGGCGAATCGTTGCGATCGAGTCGTCTTCTTCTCAATTACTTCCTGGGACCCGCCTGTTCGCTTGTATTGGCTTTCACTCTTTATTCACTCAACGGGCAGATGAATGGAGGAGAGTGGGAGAGTGGGGGATTCTTGCGTGAATAGAATAAAAAAGGGCCGTGCTACCTTAGTAGGGTAGGGAGTCCGCTAGGTCCTTGTTCGGTACACCCGGAGATGCTTATGGATAATCGGGACTCAAAAGGAGAGCTTTTGTTGACGTAAAATGATAATCACCGGCTCAACGAGCAGGTCTTAGTTCAGTATAGTTCAGTATATTTAGGGTAGTAGGCAATGCCTTTGAAGAACCTACTGAAAACAGTATGCATAAAATATCCTGCATAAAATATGTTACTATAAAGTAGTGAGTAACATATATGCATGTACATGGCATATACATGCACATGTTCATGGCACAAACATGGCATATACATGTCATATACGTGGCATATACATGGCATATACATGTACATGGCACACTAGACATGACTGTTTTTGGCGGCCCCGAGGAAATCATTTGTCGTCCATTTTTTCAACCAGCAATTTCGATGATTTCCACCACGAGCTTCAGTAAGCTGAAGGCAGGCGCGATAGCTGGCACTGGATTATAGTGAAAGTAGATTCGCACTGAATATACCTCACTCTCGCCCCACTGCCCCACCCGTGCCCGGTGTCAAGAGAAACAAGTCAAGAAGGCCACAACCACACCTGGCTAGGATTCCCATCATGTGGGAGTGCCATAAAGGCCAGAGTAAGAAGGAGCCATTGCAGCCTGACTCTCAGTCCGCTAGTCAGCCACTTCACACAACAAAAAACAGACAGGACTGACTGCGTGGTCCCAGTTATCCCGCCAGTTAGCCAGTATCTACAAGGCGAACCACGGCAGACATCGATATCGATCTGTCTGTTCACTGGCTTTCACGCCGAAAAGGTTTGCCTATTCGTTTGAATAGGTGGCTCATCGTTCAACATGTACCACGGGACTTGGTGAGGACGAAGGGAACAATAAATGGTGATGGTTTCCTCTTTAAAGAAAATCAAGCATGTTTCTATAGGTAACTCCTTATTCATTCAAGCAGATCTTTCAGGGTATTTTTGGACTATTTAGGCTGGGCTTTATTGTCTAGGCAACAAACTATGCTTTATTGATTACTCGAATA